CGAATTTAGGGACCTCGCGCATTTAGGGCCCCTAGGTTTTCATGTTGAGAGGGGGGGGGGGGTTGGGGGCCTCGCGCTGAAAATCTGCCACGGGCCTCGCGCGACGTTAATCCGGCCCTGGTAACTGGCCGTCGTATAAACACTGTGGAAATTTACGTTTTTATGTACCCACTTTTTTTCAGGTGTCCGGGCCAAAAATGATCAACTCCGCATGCTCGGCCAGTTTCCTCGAGCAGTTAAAGCAAGCCGCCATCCAATGGAATGCATGCATCTGGTGACTTGCCGAGCACGCGCACAAAAAAATGGGAACACTAGTTATAACTGTGAAAATGTATCTACTCAGTTTCTGTGTCATAATATGTATGCAGATTCACATGGTTACGTCATTATGACAATACAATGACGCAACCATTTGGATCTCCACACATAATGAGCTACACTACATAATAAATCGCATTTTAACGCATTTTTTAAGTGAAGACGATCATAGATTTGTTGTGTTGGCTAGGCTAAAGCCAGGTCCATGATTTTTCCGGATCTTCCTATATTTTACGCTCTATGTTTCATGTGCTAGGTTCACCAGTCTCGAAAACAACACGAGAGATGGAAAAATTGGAGAATTGAGGAACTAAATCGTGATCTAAAATATTGTCACCCCCGCTGGCCCGAGGAATGCAAGTATATCGAGATGGAAATTGCCAGTATTTCGTCACAAGGAATATCATATTTTGAAAGTTACTGGAATTATTTTGATTGGGTGACCTATTTCGGGATACTAACGGTCATTCTGACGCGAATTCTGTCCGTTGCCATTGACAACAATACAGCCAATGAGCTTCACCCTAAGGTTGGGAATTTTGTTTGTTCGAAGAAGCCTAAACTAACTGTATTTATACTGGATAGCTCTATCAATTCTAAACTGTTCTCCTTAGAGGTCCAGTAAGAGTAATCACTTATTGATTCAGTGTTAGTACAGGAAGAAAACTAAACTAACTTTATTTATACTGGATAGCGCTATCAGTTCTGAACTGTTCTTCCTAGAGGTCCAGTAAGGATCATCTCTTATTGATCCAGTGTTACTACAGGAAGAAACCTAAACTAAACTAACTTTATTTATACTGGATAGCTTTATCGGTTCTAAACTGTTCTCCCCAGAGGTCCAGTAAGAGCAATCTCTTATTGACCCAGTGTTATTACAGGAGGAAACCTAAACTAAACTAACTTGTGTCTTCAGAAACTTTGATATATTATGTTAGATTAACAAATTCCAAATCTTCCAGATCATGTCAATTGCTCTAATCTTCATATGGCTACGACTGATGAAAGTTTTCCGGGCGTTTGAAGCTCTTGGTCCATTCATCGTCATGATCGGCCATCTCCTCAAAGACACGCTCATCTTCGGATTCCTTTACGTGATGTTCTACATTCCGTTCGTCTGTGCGTTCTGGATAAATTTCGGCGGGGATGTAAACGCCGAAAAAATGAAACAAGCCGGACAGGATTCGGAAGGTTGGCGCACTTTTAACAATTTAATGTATTCGGTCTGGGAGATCACTGTTGTTGGAAACTATCCGTGGGATTCGTTGTTGGTCATAGATCGAATCATGGCACAAATTTTATGCGGGACTTATTTGGCTGTGTCGGCTATTGTCTGTTTGAATCTGTTTATCGCGCTAATGTCTGATACGTTCCAGAGGGTGTATGATAATGCGAATGCTAATGCTGTCATGCAGAAGGCAAGCACGATTCTCTCGCTCGAAACAGATATGTCTGGAAGACGTAGAGATATGTTCATGAATCATATTCACACCAGCTGCGCCCCTGAGGTAAGGAACACACTTTTACTTTTGGTAGAAGGGTTCTGTAGATTTTGTACATTAGTGTGAATTTTGTACATATATTACGGTTACTATAACTTAGTTCAAATGTCTACACACACACTAATGTCATACTATAGTACCGATATATGATGTATTGTACTCTGATCCTGTATTATATAGGAGATGTACTATGACGATGACTCAGTCGAACCGGACTCGGGTGAACTGGAAAAACTTACGCATCAGATAAATGATAAAGTTGTGGAAGTTGAAGAAATGGTGAAAGCATCTTTAGAAGAAAGGAAAAATGAAACTTTTCAGAATAAACAATCTGTAGACAGGTAATGCTTGAAGTAGGGATCAATATTACCTTCCTTGCCACAGGAAGAAACCTAAACTAAACTAAACTAATTTTATTTATACTGGATAGCTCTATCAGTTCTAAACTGTTCTCCCTAGAGATCCAGTAAGGATCATCTCTTATTGATCCAGTGTT